TCTGTCCGTCTCCTGCTGCGCATCTGAAGGGCCACTCAGCACGGACCCAAGGTAAGCCCCTGGCCCTGATGAGGGAGGGCTGCCCTTCCGGCCGGGATGCTGCCCACCTCCCTTCCATAGACGTCGGGGTCGGGGGGCAAGACTTGGCCCCCACCCTGGCTGGTCTCCGTGGTATGGCCCTGTTCCCCACCCCACCCCCCTTTTAGGCGGCCCCACAGGGATCCCCCTGGAAAGGGCTCCTAGAAGATAAGCCAACGTGGTCACCTCAGTCCTTCAGGCTAAGGAAGGGGCTTTCCTGGTGCCCCTTCCCACTGGGCAGACCTGCAGTTACATCACAGCTCCTCCAACAAATAGAACCATGCACCTCCACCCTGGCCCTCCAGACAGCGCCCCTTCTTCCCAGGATCCTCAGGTTACTCCCCCTCCCGTGCCCAGCCCTGTCCCTGCCCCCTACCCACACAGTGACAGCACATAGCGACACCCACTTAGTACCATGGGAAGAAGAACACATACAGCTTAGGTTGGGGATCCTCAGTAACCTGGGTGCCTGGGACCCCTGCCCACCCGCCTCTTCCCTCCATTCGGACTTGTCATCCACTTCAGACACAACCTCCTGGTGACTGCTCCCCCCGCCCCCTGCTTCCCACTGAGACTCCAGGAGGAGAGCGCAAGGCCACTCCCGCGGGAGGGAGAAGGGCAGGTTGGGCTCTAACATTCACCTTCACATGGAGATGCCCTTCCCATCCCATCCCTTCTCCGTCAGGCACTCACCAAGGGCACCTGTGTTAGGAAAGAAATGAGGGAACTCCCTGATTTGGGGAGGAGAGCTAAGGCCTGGGATGGATAGAAGGACAAAACTGGACAAAAGTGGAAGCAGGGCCGCTCTGATGGAGAGATTTCATTCTTGTTAATGAAGCACCCCGCGCGGAGTGAGGGAGATGGGGAGCTGGGGTTGCTGCAGAAGCCAGTACAAATTTGGACCCAAAGAAGGCCAAGGCTTAGAGCCTGATTATGTTGCTCACCAATACCAATTGTGGCTAAAGCTTTTTGGCTCGTCTGCCTTATCTGTGGGGTTTGAACCCCCCGCCCCACACACACACCCAGAACTGCTTTTAGGCAGTTCTGGATGAGGGAGATGATGGTGGGAGATTTGGGGCCCTTCTGTGATGACGGCTGCTTGCTTAGGGGTGCTGAGGAGGGCCTGGAGTGGGTGTCTAGGCCAGCCTGCGGAGGGGCCAGCAGCCACTGCCAGCTTTCATTTAGTTTCATCCCCAAACCCTTTTCTAATCTCCAAGGATTTCTGGACATGTTCCTGGCATGATGGAGGGCACCATCCCGTGCTGAGGGGTAGGGCTTTTTCTTTCCTAAGGGTATAGGCTGGGTATGGGGGACCAAGTGCAGAAGGAAGCAGGTGTCCTGGCTCATAGCTGGTTTTTCATGGAGGAGGAAATGAGGAAGGAGAGGGAGGGAGGGCACCACCCCAGGGAGAAGAGCCAGGGCTGGTCTTCCGAGGCAGTAGGCATGGCCTAGGCAGTGCCAACCCCCCCCCCGCCCCCTCAGTCCTTTGGTGGTGGTGGCGAGGGAGGGAGAAAGGGGGTGTTGGGGGGGTGATCTGGGCCAGTCCAGCCTCCCAAAGCCCTTGCCAACCTGGGTCCTGAAAGGAGTTGCTGTTTTCTGAGCCATCCCCCAGCCCCCACCCGGAGCCCGAGCAGCCAACTTGTCTCAGTGGATATCAAATGGCAATGACTCTACCGAGTGGAGGGGGAGGCTGGATTATGGTTCCATTCCTCCTGTGGTTCTAATGCCGAATCCCACTGCGGACCCCGACCCTGCGGAAAAGCTTTGACTCCCAGCAGCACCCCCACATCCAGTCTATTGACACATGTGTTTGTGTGGGAGGATTCGTTGTCTGTCCCCTGGCATCCCCCAGCGCCTTCCTCCCTGTGCCCTGTTGAATGGCCCCCGTGCCCCTCTGTGCGTGAGCGCACTTATAGCTCTAGCTCAGTTGGATTGGGCTACAAGGGAAGAGTCCGGCAGAAGACCCAGAGGCCTTTTCCCCTTGCTGTCCCCAGGGACCAGAGAGGCTGGGACAGGAGGGTCTGAGTGGGCTCAGATGTCCCCTGGGGTCATCCAGGGGGTGGTGGTGGGGTAAGGGGTTTAGGGCTCTGGCGGGTGAGTTGTGCAGGAACACATGCTTCCTCTGAAGAAAAAGGCCTTCTGGGTCTCCTAGCGAAATGTGCACAAGATGGAAGATAGGCTGGGCCCCAGGCATTGGTGGGAGGAAAAGAGACATCGGGCAATGGAGCACCTCAACTTTCCTGCCAAGAGTTATTTAGGACGGAAGAAAAAACCTCCACTCTCCCTCCCCTCCCTGGCCTAGATTCTCCTCTTGCCTGACTGGTCAGTGTTACTGTCCAGCCGGAGGCCAAGCTGTCCAGGACAGTGGTGAGGCCCTGGAAGGGGTAGAGAGCAGGGCTCATACGAGGCACACCGTGATGAGACCGCAGAAAGATTGGAGAGAAGGAGAAGATTGGGATCCAAGTGTTTCAACACCCAGCAAAGGGTGGTTGCTGGGGCAGGTCCCGGGAAGCAGAGCTTTTGGTGTTTACACGTCACCTTGTTCTACCACAGGCTGAGTTCAATGCTCATCTTCCTTCATCCAAGTTTAATATGTGTGTTGCCACCATTCTTCATGGAGACAGTGCATCTAGGTGTCCCCTCTTCATCCCCTCCCCCATCAGAACCTTGAAAGGGCAAAGAGAAGGGGATTGTGGGAAAAACTCTCCCGTGGGTGTCTGCTAGCTTGGAGCTGAATTTGAGGTGGTAGGGAGGCGGGAGGGGCTGGCTCTGGAATGTGGGAGAGAAGTAAGAGCTGAATGAACTGCGTGGTTGGCAGAAAGAGGTTGGAGAAGCAGGACCCTGAGAGGCCTGAATTAACGCATTGGGCCCCCAAAACGGAGTAACATAGAAAGGGGGTGTGGGTAAGGCCATCCACTCCCCTTCCAGTGGCACAAGACCTGGGAATGGCATGAAGCTGGAAGGACTTAGGTTAGAGTTCAGGAAGCACATCTCATACAAGGAAAGAAATCTAAAATAAAGATTGGGGAAGAAAGGGAGACTGCCTTCTGGACCAAAACTGATCAACCAACCAACCAAACAAAAAAACAAAAAAACACACCAAAAAAAATCCCCAAAAGAAAAAGCCCGTGGTGAAGATGTCTGAGAGGCGCCGTGAAGCCCAGATGGGCACGGGGATTTACTGAGCAGCCAGGGGGACGGCCTCCCATGCCCAGGGCTGCTCCCTGGCTCCTTTCCGTCCTGGCTGTGCCTGGGAGGCAGTCGGCACTGGTTAAGAGCACAGCCTTGGAGTCAGACTTCTGGGTTTAGATCCTGGTTTCAGCACTTAGCTACCCAAGCCTCCTCATCCTTGCATGGGGCTAAAAATGGGCGAGGAGTGAAGGAGTCAGTATTTATAAAGGGCTTGGACAAAGGGCTCTGGCTCTCTCTACTCTGTCATTTTTGCTGGCTCGTGGGCCTTGCCCCAGCCTTTGACTGTGGTTTTTCTGAGGTTCTAGGTCTCCATCCCTCCACCCTTCTAGAGTTTGGGAAGGTGGGAGAATTTTCATGTAGTCCCTGAGCATGCCTGATCTAAGATGAAATTCCTGTCTTTATTCCACGAGGCTGACCAGCACCAGGGCCTGGGTCCCCACCCCCATAGCCCCTTCCTCCCAATGTTTTCACCAGGCAGATGTCCTATCTTCAACTCAGATCTAATAACTGAGCTGTTGAGCTTCTGCCCCAGACAGTCCATCTCCCCATTCTGAGCAACTTCTCTCTCTCCCACCTCTCACCCCGACCCCGCATGACCTTGCTTGTTCCTCTCGCTGCCTAGGTTTGCCGCGCACCTTCTCTCAGGTGTGTGCTCACTCCTCTTCTGTCAGCCTGTCCTCCTCATCAGCCCTGATGCCCATGAAATGACCTCCCTACCTTCAGCCAGTCTCTCTCCTTGACTCCCTCTCCACCTCAGAATTGTCCCTGACATCATCACCGTGAAGCATCCGTGTTATCTTGCTCCTTTCCTCCCTAGATATCCCTGTTGGTTCTCAGATGGAAACTCCCAATCATAGTCTTCAAGATACTTCAGTAAGCCTTTCCCCACGGTCCCCTCCAGCACCCCATTTTGGGGACTGCTCCATTCAGACCTTGTTCCAGGGGAATATACTCAATGGCAATTCTGAGCCACGCTCTTCCTTCCACTCTGGGCCTTCATTCCGAGTCTTACCCCTCCTGCCACTCTCCATTCCTGTGTCCCTATCAGCTCTGTCATCGTGTACGCCCTCCTCCTCAGCATCCTGCTTGTCCCTTGTCCCTTGTGTAACGTTGCCCAGGATACCCGATGCAGTGGTGATGTTGGAGGGGACATCCTGTCGCCCTCATTACATGGGGGCTCCTCTAGGGTTAGGCCTCTGTCAGATAGCAGGCTCCCTGAAACAAAGGCCTCTCTTTCTGCTTCAGACCCTTGGCCTCAGAGTGCCTGCTGACCAGCTTGGCTCTAACTAGGAAACCTTTCTGACTGCTGATTCTCAGGGGGAGGACCCTGGCTTCAGAGGCCATGGAGTTTGGGAGGAGGGTATATGTAAGACCCTATTATCAACTCTCAAGGGAACCTCAAGAGAAATTTATCAACCCCTGGTCCCGTGGAGACAGCATCACCTGAAGATTATAAGCAGCAGACCCGAGAGCCCCCAGTTTCCAGCCCTTTCAGACTGTTGGCCCCAATGCAAAAATCCATGTGGGTGTTCAGGCCCCTCAGAGCCTTTCTCTCCTCACCAGGGAGGTGTGCTCTGCCTGACGCTGGGCTTGTCAGCAGGTATACGAAGTGGAGCAAGAGCCAAGGTCAGAGTCCAGTCTGGACAGCCATTGTCTCGAGCATCCCTCTGAGCAGGGCCTGCAAGCTGGGAGACATGTGGGGAAGTGGGATGTAGCCCTGACATCTTGTCTTACATTACCCCTGGGACTGTCCCTCTTCTCTACCTTTACCATGGGACCCCAGCACATACCTCCTCCCCACATCCAAATCTCCCTGTTTGACCCTCTGATTAAAAAGAAAAAAAAGGACACAGCCTGGCCAGCCTGGCTCAGTGGTTGAGCATTGACCTATGAACCAGGAGGTCACGGTTCGATTCCCAGTCAGGGCACATGCCTGGGTTGTGGGCTTGATCCCCAGTGCAGGAGGTAGCCAATCAATGATTCTCTCTCATCATTGATGTTTCTCTCTCTCTCCCTCTCCCTTCCTCTCTGAAATCAATAAAAATATATTAAAAAATAAAAAAAGAAAGTCACAAGCAACTGTCAAGAAGAGAGGGCCGGTATGTCTGAGCCTAGGGCTGTGATTCTCAAACTTTTCGACCTCAGGACCCTTTCACACTCTTAAAACCTATCAAAGATATCAAAGAGCTTTTGCTTATGTGGGTTACAGCCATTGATATGTTAGAAATAAGAACGGAGGCCCTAGCTGGTTTGGCTCAGTGGATAGAGCGTCGGCCTGCAGACTAAAGGGTCACGGGTTTGATTCCCGCACATGCCCGGGTTGTGGGCTTGGTCCCCAGGAGGGGAAGTGTAGGAGGCAGCCAATCAATGATTCTCTCTCATGATTGATGTTTCTATCTCTTTCTCCCTCTCCCTTCCTCTCTGAAGTCAATTAAAATAAAATAAAAAGCATGTTGTAAAAAAAAAAGAACTGAGGAGACTTAAATAGCTATTAATGTAAAAATAACAACAAAACCATTGCATGTCAATGTAAATGCCATTTTTAATGAAAATAGTCATATTTTAAAAAAAGTTTAGTAAGAATGGCATTGTTTCACATTTTCACAGCTCTTTTTAAGGGTTAATAGAAGACAGTTGACTTCTCGTGTCTGCATCTTAATTCAACATGCTGCACTATCACATGTCATGTGGCTTCTGGAAAACTCTGAGCACTCCTGAGAGAATAAGTGAAGAAAGCCAACAACACATCAGCATTGTTGTGAAGATAGGTTTGACCTCAGAGAGCCTTTGAGAGGGTCTTGGGAACCTCGCAGGGGTCCTCAAACTGCGGCCCGCCGAAAACATTTATCCGGCCCGCCGGGTGTTTTTGCCGCCGCTGTGTGCATAGGAATTTGTTCATAGTTTTTTTTTAAACTATAGTCCGGCCCTCCAACGGTCTGAGGGACAGTGAACTGGCCCCCTGTTTAAAAAGTTTGAGGACCCCTGTTCCAGGGGCTGCAGACCACACTTTGAGAATTCCTAGTCGAGAGGAACCTTGGCCGACCTGGCTGGTCTCCCCCAGCTGCCATGGCCTTTTGAACGTTTCCACTAGGGATGAATTATGGGGCCATAGTTAGTCATGTGGGTTCTGGAGGCAGACTACCTACCTGAGCTTGAATCTCAATTTTACCGCTCACACGCTGTGTGACCTTGGGCAAATTATTAACATCTCTGTGCTTCCGTTTCCTCATCTATGAACTAGGGCTTTAAAAAAGTGCCTGCTTTGTAGAGTTGCTGAGAACTAAATGACAGAACACTAGAAAAGGGCTTAGCATAGTGCGGAATAATGTTAGTTCTTATTCAACTCTTACCCCTGAGTCCCCTGCCCATTGGCCCAGAGAGCAGGGAGCTACAGAGGTGATTTTTTCCTACATTCCAGATGGGGCTTCTTGGCCCAGAGAGGGAACGTACCTGTGCCAGGTCCCAGGGACAGTCACCAGGATTGTTGGGCCCTGAACCCCGAGTTCTAACTCCAAGCCCTGTGCTCTTCCACCAGACTTTTCCAGGGGGTAGGGGGGAACCCCAGGTCCTGAGACGGGGAAAGAAGCAGACCTTACCTTTCCCCCAGCAATTCAGGTGAGCCAGTCAGGGCCCATGGGAAGAGAGCAGGGAGCCTTGAGGGCAGAGAGCAGGAGGACTTCCTGACATCCCAGCAACCTACAGAGGAGAGAGCCGGACAAGCTTAGCCCAGAGATCTTGCTGGTTCACCTTGTGGGGAACAGTTCTGTGAAGTGGCCTCGCCCTCTCTCCTGGGGTCACTGGCCCTAGGGACAGGGTGTCTGTGACTGGGCAATACTACCTCTCCTATGGTGCCCCCAGCCCCTCCAGGGCATCGTCTGCTCTCAGCGGTCCCCTCTCCAGACCCCATTCTTTCCCAGGCTCCCCTGGCCTGGCCCTCAGTGCTGAGGCACCACAGAGCAGGCACTGCACTGGGGAAAGGCAGCTGGTGGGGCTGGGGTGATCTTGGGGTGCAGAGGGGCGGGGGTCCCGGGCAGAAGAGGAGCCTCTCCCACAGCGGGGGTGGGGGGGGGGGGAAGGGGTTGAGGCAGATGGGGAGACAGACAGATATACACTGAGGAAGAGCTAGTCCTGGCTCTTGGGCCTTAAGCTGGGCTGCAGGCACCCCACCTTCCTTAGAAGCCCAGGACCCCCTCCCCGTCCCCACGCACACACTTTCTGGAGGCTCCGCTCCCACCCGAAGCCCCCAAGCTGACAACTCTGAGACGTGGCGGGCTGAGGTTTGAGGTCTTGCTGTCTGCTGCTCCGTTCTTCTCCTGCCCACAGAATTCCCTTGAATAAAGGGTAAAATTGAGGCAGAAAGTGGGTGGCCTCA